TCAGAGGGAGTGCGGGCGGGGAGTTAGAGGGGGGTTTGGTTTTGGGGGCTCGAGCGGGCATCGGAGGAGGATTGGGCGGACGAGAGTCATTTTGGAGGGCGCTGCAGGGGGCAAGATGGAGCGGCGGAGCACCAAGGGACGGAGGTTGCACAGCAAGGGGCCTGAGGAACGAGGCGGATGCAGGGGCAGTCAAATCAGGGTGGTGCTGCAGGGAGTGGAAATCGGTGGGGATTTGGGGGTGTGGGAACTCAATGGGAGCGGGGAGGAGTTGTGGGGAGCGGCTGAGTTGTGGGTGGGGAGATGCGGGAGTTTTGGGTAAAGAAGGGGGGAGTATTTGTAGATAGAGATATCAATACTATATTATAGAATCATCTCAGAACATAATTGGGCAAAAATTGGGGAGTCAAACTTGAATATCACCAAAGGCAGAACATTCACAGTCTCTTTCCGGGTTGCAGTGTGCAAAGAGCGGTAACAAGGGAGTGTTTGTTATTGGGGATTAAGAAAGATACTCACCATTCTAGCAGTTCTCCGCAGTGAAACCAAAGAGTACTCAATACACATTGGAGAAGGACACTCAGTTACCTAATGAGGCAGTTTTTCTTTCCACAGTGTCCTAGTTACACAAATAACAAATTGAAGATGTACCCCACTCAAATAGTACACTAACCTTTTTACCACATTGTGGTAATTCCAAAGGACCAGCATGTACAGAAGGACCTCAAGATGGGACAGAAGCAGGAATATTAATTCAGATTCAGAATCAGCGCTCAAAACAACCCTAGGTCACTCCCTTACAAGAGACCAGAAATCTCAACATTTTTCAAGAAAAACAGCTACAAAACATTTATGGAACAAACCAGAGGGTCAGAAAAGAACTTTCAGCGCACACATTCATCAGAAACCAGGACAAAATTCCCCTTTCAAAATGGAACAGTCATATCACCAGAAATAACATAAATTCCCAGGCATATGACAGCAGATCATCACTTGACGCAGCAGGATGGGAAAGG